CTTTACACGAGCTAACAATATCAGATTTTATTATATTTCTTTCATTTACAGAAAACAGATTTTCCAAAAGAACATTCTAAATAATGTAATTCAACAACAAGATAACATTTATGAATGTAATGTAAAGTCATTCTCAGTTATTGAGTGGACTTTTGAAGATAGCTGAAGAACCTTAAATAAAAATTATTATTATTATTTTTTTTAAATAAAAAAATAATAAAAAAAAATAATATAGAAAATCTCTATTAATGTTTAAAAAATTAAATTCACTACATCAGTGGAAGAGATTAATGAAAGAAGGTACCAAATGACATTCACAAATATGCCACATTTTTGGTTTTAAAAATCATATTGTGCTCAACAATGTGTAAAGAACTTGGTGTCTTTAAACTAGATAGTGTATTACAGTAAATACAGTACAGAACCCGTTATCCGGAAATCAGAAAACCGGAAAACCAAAAAACCGGAACGAAATTCGGATTTCAGGATTTTTCTTTCTTTTTTGAAAGATGTTAACTTACCATCATTTTGGAAATTATCATTAGTGCATTAATTCATTGTTTTTTCCTTTTTTTAAGATTATTTCCAAATATTTTTTTTTTTTAGTTGAGTTTGACAATAAAAAAACGGCTTTTTGTAGCGATTCAGAAAACCGGAAAAATCAGTTATCCGGAATAGCGATGGTCCCGATCGTTCCGGATAATCGGTTCCCTACTGTATTTGTTTTATAAGCAGATTTCCGCTGTTCCATACTTTTTTTAAAGCTAATGTTCCTAAATTCACAAAAACATCACTTAAAACCTTCTTCCACTATAACTCTTGATGAAATTTATAAATGTAAATAGTCTGTCGAAAAAAATTATATTAACAACATTCCCACTTTTATTTAAAGAATAAATCAAAAGTGTGTTAAGTATTATTATGAAAGAAGTATTAAGAACAAATCAGCATTGATGGAGTAAATATAAAGAATTCTTATTATAGTGGTATTAGTGATATTAAGTGATCTTATTAAAATTATATCAGAATAATAAAGCAGTATCAGCAATTGCAGATCCTTCAAGATGTTATTTTAAAACGATGTTATAAGTATGACTACTGGAATAAAATAATAAGCTAACTTTGTTTAATAAATTCTTATTTCTATAATCAATTCAATAATATTTAGGTCCTATCAAATATAATTAACTTTTTTCCTTCCTCCCCCCTTATCAGTACTTTTCATCAAAGCAATAAGTAGTACCTTTGATTTTTGTCAAAATTTGAGGGGCACTAAAACAGTATAAGGATCTCTGTTAGAATATTTACATGACAAGCATGTAAGAGTAAAAAATATTTCATTAAGCATAATTTTTACATCCCAGGGGCATACAATTTTCCTGCTCTGATATATATACTTAACTACACAATTAAAAACAAACTCTTACTAATTCATTTTAATAACTATAAGAACTTTTATCATAATTAAAAATAAGTCTTATACTTCTGTAATTATTTTAGTATACTAATCAAAAATTAAACTCTCATAAAACAATTTGAAGGAGGTATATTTCACATAATCTTTCTTGAAAATATGTATAGGTAAATATGCAAGACGAACCTAAAAGTATAAAATTACTACGTATCCTGACCAAAGCTCTTTAAAGCTTCACAATTTTCGACTTATGAGGATATATCAGAGTACATTCATTATTACAGAATTAAATACATTTTAAAAATTTTGATTCTGCCATATTATAAGTCAGATGCAAATTAGTTTCACCTTTTTTTTTTTAATTTCAAGTAAGCAGTTTTAGTTTTAATACAGACAAATTTAAATTTTTTAATAAATGATGGTATATTTCAAACTCAAAGATATAACATGACTTATTAAATTATCATTTTAAAACATGGTTTATTATTAGAGTAGAAATAAGATAATTAAAAAATAACATTTTAATTTTTAAAATTATCTAAGATTGAAAGATCTACTTACTACTTATATTCATCCAGAAATTTTTCATGGTATTCCTCCAGCCGTTTCAACATAGCTTTCAATTTATCAGTCTGTGGTAGTATTGTTGTCCTGTAAAATCAAAACCTTTTTATAACTTGACAAAATAAAAATTACTTACAAGCAATTAGATTTTACTTAATGAATTACAGTGAACTCTCGCTACTGCGATATCCGATACAACAATAACTCCCTCTATTACGATAATGTTCCGTGGTCCCGCCAAACTTGCATATGGATTAATGTTATCTTCCTCTCAATATAACGATATTCTCTGAAGCAGTAAACCTCTGTAAAACGATTTTTTTTCAAATTTCAACATTATTTTCTATTTTTTTTTATTGGTTTTCAAATAATGTAAAATGCCTTTTTGTCATCTTTTACCATTTTTTTCATCTTTTCTGATAAAAGGGTCACTGCTGGTTATGATCTTTCACCCCACTGTTATTTCTTTGCACATCAGAGAATGGCTTTTGTATTCAAATTTCATTCCCTCACTGTTGAGGTACTTAGACCACCCTAAGAGCTTCATGTTTTAGAATTGCCTCCTTCAGTTCTTAAGAAATCACCATTGTAACATCATGAGTCACAAATGACCACACACATCACAGTAACACCTGCGACTCTGAGAAGGTACTGTTTCTGTAGAAGGTGGGTGGAGCACGTTTATTGAAATTGAGGAAGAGAAAAAAATGTATACTGACCATTGGTCATCGTTCATCACTGTCACTTAATCCCTGATTTAAACTACACCTGGTGTTTTCATGAGCTAGCGCAAATTCTACGATCAGAACTTTTCGCATTTAGTGCTGCTAACATTTTCAGCTTGGTGAGTCTTCAGTGTATTGGATATTTTTTACTAGTGTAATGGCAGGGAGAAAGCAACTTTCATTTCAAGATAAACTTAACGTTATTAAAGATATTGATGATGGAATGAAACAGATTGATGCAGCTAGAAAATACGGATTATCTCAATCTACAGTTGCAACGTTTCTAAAGAAAAGAAAACAGATCGAAGATACTGTAAGTTCAAATTTAATTAATCCAAAGCGTAAACGACTAAAAGTCGCAACTAATGAAAACATTGATGCTGCCGTCTTAAAATGGTTTCAAGAGATGAGAGCAACAAATATCCCGATAAATGGGCCCTTGTTATGCACACAAGCACGTAAATTCGCAGTAATGCTAGGGAACGAAACTTTTAAAGCTAGTAATGGTTGGCTAATGCGTTTTCGGGATCGACATGGAATAACTTTCCAGGAAGTTCACGGAGAGAAAAAATCTGCTCCGATTAACGAAGCAAATGAATGGAAGCAAGAGAAGATGACAGATATTCTTCAAAAGTATAAACCAGAGAACGTTTATAACGCAGATGAAGCTGGGCTGTTTTTTCAACTCCTTCCCGATCGAACATTGGCATTTAAGGGTGAAAAATGTTACGGCGGAAAAAAATCAAAGCAGAGATTGACTGTTCTTCTGTGTGCCAATAGCACAGGGACACACAAGATTCAACCTCTTGTTATCGGCAAATCATTGAAGCCGAGGTGTTTCAAGAATGTGAAAAGTCTTCCCGTGGAATATAAAGCCAATAAAAAAGCTTGGATGACTTCTAAGTTTTTTTCTGAATGGTTGTTGATGTTAGATAAAGAAATGAAAAAGAGGAAGAAAAAAATTGCTTTATTAATTGATAACTGCACCGCTCACACCTCAATTCCAAAACTACACAACGTCGAAATTGTTTATTTCCCGGCCAACTGCACTTCGATTTTGCAGCCACTCGACATGGGCATAATCAAGTGTTTCAAAGGATACTACAGGAAGCGTTTGGTTGAATCGATACTTGTCAACATCGAAAATAAAGTAGAAGATCCTTTTAAAACTGTGAATGTCAAGGAAGCATGTGATATTATTGCTGGTAGTTGGTGGGAGGTAACAGAAAAAACTATTCAAAATTGTTGGAAAAAGGCCGGTTTGTGTGTCTTGGAAGATGAAATTGTTTCTAATAGTGAAGAAAATTCCACAGACAGTGATCTTTCAGATAATCAAGAATTTGTTTTGAATCTTCAAAAATCTTTATCCCAACTTGAGGAAAAAATGGGTAAAACATATGGTGTTAACGTGGAGGACTATTTAACTGCCGATGACGATCTCACAATTTTCGCAGGAGTTAGTGATGAAGAGATTCTCTCTGAAATTACGGATGAAATGGAAAATAATGATGAGGAAGAAGATGGTGATGATGATCCATGTGTATCACAGTCCGTATTGTCACCCCATGAAGCTCTTCAATCCGTAAAATCTCTAAAGACATTTTTCTCAAGTCTTCCATTCACAAATGAAAATCATTTTCGGGCATTGGACTCTATGCATACTTTGTTGGTTGACTTAACAGTCAGAAAAATGAATAAACAAACAAAAATATCGGATTTTTTTCAATAAAAATGTTTTTTTAAGGTAAGTTTACAATCTTATGTTCTGTATTTATATCCATTGTTTTTAATGCTTAACCGTAATAAACACTTTGCAAATTAATTTTTTCGATAATATATAAATATATTTATAGTTAATGAATATATAACATTAAATTTCAAAAAATCTTATTGCGTCCCAGAATTATGTGGGCCCTCGATATAACAATATATCCCTCTACAACAATATTCTTATTTGGTCCGCAAAATATTGTTGTAGCGAGGTTTTACTGTATAATAAAAATATAACATGTTTCATTCTCACTAGGTGTTTATTAAAGGTCATCTATTTAAGCATTTCTTACCATCAAGTCTATTTTAAATTTGTGCAGATTGAAGTGTAAAGAAACAATTCTATACACATTTCTTTGTTTAGTTAGAGAATTGGTGCAAACAGATAAGACAAAGTTAAAACAGATTAAAGATAATGAAACAAATTAATATTTTTACAGTAATAATTTCACCAATTAATTATTATATATTTTCCAGAGTGTGTCATTTTGTTACCTGTGCGTATTGATAAAATGGAAAAGCTTGTTTCAATAGCAATCAATATCTCTAGTGGCATGTTTTTTTTTCCTTCTGACATTAAATCATATAAAATTTAATCATATGATCATAGAAAATAATAAAAACTAATTCAAGCATATTCTATGACAGAATCCTAAAATAACAGGATTAGTAAATTTTATATTTTAAAATAATTCATTTCCAATAAACTCAAAATTAAATAAAGGGCAAGTATAAATAATTTTTAGAATAAAATGTGCCTACACTTTAAATTACAAAAATTATCATAAAACATAAATTATTTTGTCAAATATATTTCTGAAGCTCTAATAGTATTACTTTGAACACTACCAATTATTATTATTAATTTTTTTTTTTAAAGCATTCTAGCCAATTATGCCTCTCAAAATAAAAGAGAAGCCATTTTATTCAAAAAAAAATTCGAAATATATAAATTAAAAAAGACATAATGAATAAAAACATTATGTCTTTTTTGACATAATAATAAAATATAAATGACAATAACATGAAAGAAAGATAAACAGCATAGTTATTGAAAATGCAATTTAAAAAAGTAATTTTTCTCATGATTATAATGCAGAATATCAATGTGCATACTTTGAAGAAAAAAAAGATATTTCAGTTAGATAAGTTATTTGCTTAGAATTTAGTAAGAGCTTCAAATTACCTGAAGTGATATGTTCCTGGTATTTGCCCGAACCCACTTCCAGGTACTACACATATCCCAGTATTCTCAAGAAGTTGCATTGCATAGAAAAAATCAGGAGCCTGTCCAAGTGACTAAAATAAAACAAGTGTGTATTTCACTGATTTAAAAAATACATTGAATTCAAAAAAGGTTTAAACAAATTCTCACTTTTATAAAAAATGATAAAAATTTCAAACCTTTTATTTTTTGTTTAATAAGATTCAGCTTCCCATCTGTTACTTCACGTGGCTGCCGTAATATATTTATAGTTTAGATTATTTTTTCATCTGTTTTTTTTATATTTATGTTCAACTTAAAACAAACTTTGCCTTAGTAAGAAACAAATAAAAACATTTAACAAAAAATATTAAACATAAGATCATAAAGTCAAATCTAGCATTATAAAATATTATATGAAGTAAATATTATTATCCTGATTTTCCTGATGAAAAATATATAGTCCTTATTTGGCCTGATTTTTAGCTATTTGTCCTATTATTTCTGATTTTTGTTTGCCTTCAGAACATTCTCTTTACTAATACAGACAAATACTAAAACAAATATGGCTCTTAAAATAATCAATTTGAGGAATCAAAAGATTTTAATTTTTGATCTCTTTCATCTGATTTTAAAAATGATAGGATTCCAATCATCAACTCAGAATCATACAGATCATCATACAGAATTTTTAAATGGTGAGTTGAGGGATCGTCCATTAAATTACTTATAAAAGCAGCATATTTACTGTGTTTTCGTTTAGAGATTATTAAAACCCTACTTAAAAAATATTCGATTTAAGAAAAGTCTTAAAGTTTATCAAAATTTTGGTATGAGAGAACATTAACTAATCGATACCAGTTATTTTTTGTATTTCAACAGCAATAAAAAAAAAATTCTATAAATACCGATCTTTAACTATTGAGTTGTTCAGTGCTCAGTAAATGAAATTGTAAAGAAAGCTGTTTAAATTTTCTGTTTAACTTTCTGTTCTAAACAAAGTAATACTGAAAATAAAAACATTAAATATTCTTTTGATGATAAATTATATTTACAGTTTTTTCAGCTTGCCGTTTGCATTTTTTGATAGTCTGGTGCATGTATTTTGTTCCAAAAATCTTTCAGATTCACACTTTGGCCTACTACAAAGCCTATTGTATTGCTCAATTGCTCATTGGTAAGAAGTTTGCTGTGTTTTACTTTCTAAGAAATTATACGTGGATTATTTGTTGATGTCAGTACCTAGTAAATTTAATTTAAATTTATTGTTCTACTTTAGAGTTAGTTTAACGTTATAACGCTGGAGGTTGGGAGTTAAACTATAGAGAAGGTTACAACACGTTACCGTGCAATTAGGCTTATAGAAAACATTGCACTTAGAAGAAACAGCAGGGAGAAAAATCATTGCAGAGTAAAAAAATAAAATATGTTGCAAAATTCTGAACAAAATAACAAAGAAAATGCAAAAAAGTTAATCACAATATAGAAATAAATAGTTTATTCTCTTTACTGCTCCTTCAAAAAAATTTCATGGTTTAAATTTTTTATGGTCATCTTACTCACATGACTCAAAAACAGTTAGATAAATTTTAGCACACTCTTTGAGTAATATTTAAGGAGCATTTTGATATGAAATGTGGATAATAGTTTTCTAAATGTTTTTTGTTGCAAAATTCAGTTAAGCTAAAACTTTGTATTAGCTAACTATGTACTTTTATGTCTGAGGACTAGTACTTCATCTCACCTTGTTTAAATTTAAAAATAGTTTTAAGGTGATAAAATTATTCATTTTCATTTTTTTTTCAGACTTATTTAATGAAGTGGAAATACTAATCATTAATGGTTCATTTCAGAGGCTCAGACATGAGCAGGGACCAACTTCCCATTTCTTCCAAATAAAATATGTTTAGTTTTATATGCTATACTTTTTTTTCAGTTATAAAATTCTTACTTTAAATTAAAGGAAACTTAATGCATAAATTCTTCATTAATCAAAGAAAAAAAAATCATACAAAAACTTTTGAGTTTTACCTTAGCTTTTTGAATAGCCTTTTCAGGCAGAGTTATTCTAGGAAAAGCATACATGGCTCCAACTACAGCATTACATTTCATTCCTCTAATCTTGTTAAAGGTCTTCTCAACTAGCAACGCTCTTTCCTTTAAAGATTTCAGTACCTCAGATTTTTCCTAAAATACACAAATATTAAATTAATTACAAAGAAAAAACATCACTAGTTAAAACATTTAAAAAAAATTTTTTTCTTCAAAAACATGCATATAAAGTGTCATAAAGTTTGCCTGTAGAATTATAGAAGTTCATTTATAATACAGATTTAAAATAAACGACAAATTGTAATTATTAGGGATATTCATTAATCTTTCTTCTTTTATTTACATAGGAGAAATAAAATATTACACAAAAAAAGAATTAACATATTTTCCCTTGTAAAAGTCAATCAAGTCTACAGATTGACTCATTTAAATTTAACATGGAGTATTTGGTGTGGGCCATAGTATTCCCATTTATTGAAAAATTATTTTTAATCGATTACAACAAGCCAAACCAGTCACCAAGTGAAGCATTTCAAATCAACATGGATGATATAGTTTAGATTTCTAGAATCAACATGACCTACAATAAAGGTTCTTCATTCACAAAAACTTTTAATTTTGTTATCTCTTTTGAGTATGTTCTCACTGTATAACTTTTATAATTTTTTTTTTATATATATAAACAGAACAAGTAGATGTTTTAAGCTAACGGATATTTAAAACTAGATTTATAAACATTCGTCTCTCAGACCTTGCAAAACACTTGTAACTTTTCAAGTAAAAGAGACAAAAAGATAAACTTCTAAATACCCTCGGAAATGGTTTGATGAATGATTATCAATAGTGTATATCCTATGTACGTTTATGAATCTAGTGTTAATATGTTACAGGAATGAAAACTTTCAATCACTGATAAACTAGACCCCATAACTTTCATTCAATTTAGTGTCTCAAAAAGTAGACTTATATACCTGAAAATATGGTATATAAGTATCAAAATATAAAAAAATAACTTCTGAAATATATTATTGTATGACTGCTTCAAATGAAAAAAAAATTAACAGAATAGAAAAAAGACAACCATCAAATAAATATTCCACCTGCTACGAATTAATGATTATATTACATTCATGCATTTTTGAAAAGTAAAAACTGCATTTTAAGTTCATAATATTCTGCATTTAAAAAAAATTTCAAATTGCCCACATTTAAAATTATATCATTAATTTTTGGTAAATAATATAAGCCTACAATTAAAAAAAGTGTTCAGAAACCAATGGCTGATTCTGATAATTTTTTGAAAGCAGATTTCAGAAAAAATAGTGAAAGAATTAGTCGCAGATCATTTTTTTATTAACTTAAAATTTTGCTTTTATAGACACTAATTTATTGTACTTTAATATGCTAAAGAAAGAAATAAGCATTTAGTGTAATAAGTCGTCACTACGAGTTAAAATTATAGATGTTTAGGAAGTGATGCAAATGAATAAAAACAAGTTTTTAAGTAATAACAGGTGAATTTTTTTGATATATTTTAATTCACATTGTCTTCTATTTGTGAGAAGAAATTAACATATTCCCATCTAAACATATGGGCTATTATGCCGAAATGAATCAAATCAATCCTAAGACAACAAAACAACTGTTTAGAAAAAATGAAACTTAAAATTTTTGATTAATACCTTCCTAAAACCATTATAGCTTTAGAACTTTTAGCTCTATTGATTTAATTTTTATTTTACAGGATTTAGCATAAAAAAATATACTAGAAACAATACGTCATTTGTCGGTTTAAAAAGTCACATGTGTAAGGTATATTTGAAGACAAAATTACACTTTCGAGAAATAAAACCTTCTAGAAGTTTTAACGTATTAGTACCATTGACTTGAGTTTGATCTCTTCAAATTCAATGTAAAATTATATTTCAGAAACAATACCTCACTTGTCTATACAGCAATAGTTTAACCTCTTCAGAACAGGTGAGTCCTATAAACATTCTGTACGAATGCATGTATATGACTTGCATGTCCCAAAAGGGTTGAAAAAATTAAATTATTCCATTATTATATCCAATTTAAAATTAAAGCTTTGTCGTATCTACAATAAATTATTGCAATATAAATCATAGATTATACATCAAAATCTATTATTTATGTTGCATTTAATCAGATCTAAAAAATTTAGTCTAGTAGCACGCAGTTTCATGAATGAGGAAACTTGGTTCATCTTGTATCACTTAATATAAAACACCTTTAATCAAAATACAAAAAAGGTGCACAAAATTAAACAGAACTAAAACATTGATATACCCTTTAAAGCCACTCAATGTAACAAACAGTATTTTGCTTCAGTATTTGTATGTAGTAAAGAAATATAAAACTTATTAAAAATATAATGATCCAAATAAATAGGTTACCTTAATAAAAAGATCATAAGATGGATCACCCTTTTGAGGTGGCTTGACAACACAATCCATTGTTATCTAAAAAAGATAAAACTTAATTTCATATCCAATTATTATTATTAATTCCAATTAATAATAATTTTCAGAATACATAAAATTTAATGTAAACGTGGACTTCCATACATTTAACAAACAAAACACGTACTTAAATTTAATTTAATGAAACATCAAAACCATGCCAGGAATAAACTCCAATACTACTCTATCGCGCAAAACTGATGAACTGAAAGTCAATTTCTTTTTTTTTTCATTCAATATTATTTAAAAAGAATTGTGAAATCAGATATCTAAATATCTGAAAGACTCTTCATGGCATAAAAAACAAAATTTTAATACTAAATGATATTCCGGTAACTCCATGTTTATCAAATATTTGGAAGAAATATTTTTAATAAACAATTTATTTTTAATTGCAATAAAAATCAACTTAATTCGACTTAGTTTTAGTTCTTAACTCTTTTTAATAGTAAATTTTAAAAGTTTTCCTTCCTTTATGTTTTTTTTTTTTTTTTTTTTTTTTTTTTTTTTTTTTTTTTTTTTTTTTTTTTTNTTTTTTTTTTTTTTTTGAATTTGCATTATCTTTGTCACTTTATTCAGCTGATGAAGGTGGTTCATGTCAGGGCACAAAAACCTGTCTTGGTTTTGATAAATATACTATTTGGGATTTTAATTAAATCATATCACAAAGGACTTCTCTTGTCAATTTATTATTAAATTAATTCCATTTTTTACAAAAGAAAGAGCTTAGAAATAAACGAAACAAAATAAATTTTTACCTGACCCAAAACACTAGAGCAAAGACGTGCAGACACACATTTTAGTAA